TGTCCATCTTTGTGTTCATGGTGAGTGGGGCTTTCGGGGTGGGCAAGACTGAGACCCAGGCCTCCTGGACAGACCTGGGGAAGTCTTCAGAGCATCCAAGTACAGAGAACTTAGAGCAAGCAGGGTCATAGTGCTGAACTGGGGGTGCTTAGAGCGCCCACACCTGGGAGCTAAGAGCCCCCCTGGAGGAGGGAGTCTCCTATGTGAGTCCTTTGGGAAGAGCAAGAAGCAGTCAGGAAGCAGGGGCCAGGGTTGCCTGGCACAGAGGCTCTGGGTTTGGTACTGGCCCTTACTTCTGTTCCCATATCCTGGGCTCTCTGCCAGCATGCCCCTGGAAGGAGACTGAGTCCTTCCAGTCCTCTTTCAGGGCTGTGGGGACTGCCACCCTTAGGTTGGCCCTAAGCTGTACTCAGAGTGAATCGTTTACTTCTTTGTAAAATGGGTTGTCTCATGACTGCACGTCAGGGTCTTAGGAGGATTTAGACCCAGCATGCGTGAGAAGCAGAGGGCAAACACTGTCGGGTAATTCTGACCCGCTGGGGAGATGGCTCCCTCAGTAAAGATGACCTGAGTTAAATCCCTAGACTCCACATTAAAAAAAGTCGGGGAGGGCTGGAGAGATGGCTCAGAGGTTAAGAGCACTAGCAGCTCTTCCAGAGGTCATGAGTTCAATTCCCAGCAACCACATGGTGGCTCACAGCTATCTATAATGACATCTGGTGCTCTCTTCTGGTGTACAGGCAAAACATGCAGATAGAACACTGTATACATAATAAATAAATAAAATTAAAAAAAAAAACTTTAATCCCAGCAGAGGCAGGTGGATCTCTGAGTTCGAGGCCAGCCTGGTCTACAGAGCTAGTTCCAGGACAGCCGGGGCTACACAGAGAAGCCCTGTCTCAGAAAAACTGTAGGAGGGGGAAAGCCCCGAGTGGAGGTTTGCCCTTATAATTTCAGGGCTGGGATGTGAAGAAGGTGGGTACCTGCGGCTCACTCATCTGCCAGGCTGGCCTACTTGGGAAATGCCTGGTTAGTGAGAGACCCTATCTTGGGGGGAAAAAAGGTTGACACCCAAAAGTTAGCAAGTATGTGTGTATGTGTGTACACACAGGCACACACATCCAAAAATCTCTGAGCATCTGGGGCCTGTCTGATGGCTAAGCAGGCCAAGGGAACTTGCCTGACCACCTGGGCTCTGTCCCTGGAACCCACAGTGGAAGGAGAGAACTGACTCCTACAAGTTGTGCTAACTTCCATACCAGAGCTCAAATGCTCAAACCCCACCAAACAAATACATGAATATTAAAAAAACAAAACAAAACAAAACAAAAAACGAGTGTGACTTGGGGCTGTAATTCCAGCACTGAGGAGATTGAGGCAAGTTTGAGGCCAAGTTGGTCTACATAGAAGGTTCCAGGCCAACCAGGGCTCCATCAAGATCCTGCCCTGTACTCCTCTCAAAAAAGACAATGCACCCGAGCATGAGAAAGAAAAGAGCTCTTCTAGCTTGTCTTGAAAACGTCTTCTGGGGCTGGGGAGGGGACTGAATGAAGTGATGGG